GCTGAGTTTTTTTTCTATCGGTCCTATCGAAGAATTCTGGGATACTAAGGTCTCTCACATTTAGGTGATAGCAATGCAAGGATCTTTTGTTTGGTGGCTGGGCCCAACAGTGATCATAGTGCAAGGAACATCATTTGGTAATCAAATCAGGTACCTCGTATTTATTATGAAGCCCCGCGGTAATAGCAACACAAGGACCTGCTGCTTCATGAATAAGTTCCATGACAATAGTAGTACAAGGGCTTTTATTTGATGATCAGCATTGATAGACTACAAGGATCTTTTTTTGATGGTTGAGCTCCATGGGATGGTCCGTTTCGGACCCTATACAAGAGCAATGCGGAGCCTCATTCTTAAATTAGGCTCCACAGTAACAGCAGTGAAAGGATCCATTGTTTCATAAGTAGACGTAATGACAATATCGATGCAAAGGCCTTCCATTTGGTGATTGGCACCAGGGCTGTGATGGCAGTGCGAGGAGGACCTTTTGTTTGATCTTTGGGCTCCACATCAGTAATGGCAGTGCAACGACTTCTTGTTTGGTGATAAGGTACCATAACAATAGCAATACACACTCGCATGCTATAGTATATACTGCTATATAGCCAATTCTCGTTTCATTGTAAATTTCCTGGATGTATTTTCTCATGCAAAAAGATACAATGGCTGAGTTAGTATTAATCTGCTGCGACATATCAGGGAGTCATGAATATGTAATTTGTTATAAAATGTGAATAGTTTATTTAGACAAAAGCATTTAAAGAGATACCCTGATACTTTACGTGGTGCTCGTGACTAATTGCATACAGATTCTCGTATTTTTCCTTCTGCATTAATACAGTCACCTGACCGAGTGGTTATAACGAAAAATGTAGATTGAAGCATACAAAATAATGACTCACTTTTCATTAGGCCACACAAAGTTAATCTTTCATTTTGCATAACCCGCCGACCCATTTTTTTTCAATTTTTAAAAATTTTTTTTTTTTAAAGCCCCAATTGTGCCAATTATTCTATTTTTGCTATTTAATTTTTCTATCAATTTTATTTGATATCACCCGATAGAGACCTTAGTATCCCAGAATTCTTCGATAGGACCGATAGAAAAAAAACTCAGCGCTGACCTAATTTTCTGATTCCATGCTATGCAAACGAAAA